AAAGTTCCTGCAGTGCTGGCGGAGAGCAAAGGCCAAGTTCTCTTGAAGAAAGCACAAATCTAATGCCGGACATGTTACCAACTCCAGAAGCAATCTCTCTGTTAGAAGAGTATTCTTCAGATGCGATGGAAGAGAAGCAGCTTCATAGCTTCTACACCTGTTGTGGCAAATGCTCAGACGTATCTGAAGTTGAAAGAGCCAGAATTCAAAGCCAGAAAAAAACAACAGAAGGGAAAAAGAAAGGAGTGGACATGTTCAAACACTCATGGCTCACTGACAGAAAAACTTCATTCTGCGACAAAACAGGTAAATGACACAGTGTTTTGTCAATATTAAAACATTTTCTGAAAAAAATGTTTACTTTATTATAAATTCAGTTCTGCTTTTAACAATGACTACAAAAAACAATGCCTGTTTTTTTTTTTTGTTTGTTTTTGTTTTTTTTAATCTCAGGCATGTGGTGGTTGGTGTACTGTGAAGGGGAAGGGATGTTCTGCCTACTGTGCCGTGTTCATAACACCAAAAACAAGTATAACAAACAGAACATATTCAACTTAGCACCATCCACCAACTACAAGCATAGTGCTGTTAGTGACCATGCAAGAGCCAGTGGACATACGTCGACAGTAATCTGTGAGTTGGAGAGAAGGAATTCATCCTTGGCTAACCAGTATAAAGTGGCTCACGAGGTGGCTGATAAAGTAACCTACAACGCATTCCTGAGCTCTTATTGGCTTGGAAAAGAAGAAGTGGCTAACAAGAAACTTCTCTCCCTGATTGATTTGGAAAAGCACATTGGTGTCACGGAAATGCGAGAATTCAAAAATACAAGTGAACGAAGTCAGCGGGAGATGCGCCTCCTCCTTGGTCAGCTTATCAAGGAGAAACTGATTCAAAGGGTCAAGGATGCCAAGTGGTTTAGTATCTTAGTTGACGAGGTGACGGATTATGCTACCCTAGAGCAGCTGTTGATCTATGTTGGTTATGTTGATGAGGAAGGGAAGACACATTTTGATTTTCTTGAGGTGAAAGATGTTCTTGAGACATCAGAATCCGCAGATTCTGAGACTCTCACAAGGATCATCACTGAGGAGCTGAAGGCCTGTGGTCTAAACCTTGCTTTAGTTTGTGGTTTTGGCTCAGATGGTGCTAGTGTCATGACTGGCAAAAATAATGGTGTTGGTGCCAGGCTTCAAAAGGTGTGTAGCATCATGGTGCGCAGTCACTGCATTAATCACAGGCTTGCCTTGGCATGCAGTGATGCTAATGACACTGTGAAGTATATCCAGACCATCGAAGTTACCCTTCGTCAGTTGTGGAAGTGGCTGGAGTATCCAAAACGTTGCTCAGCATTTGTGAAGGTCTGTGTGTCACTTCAGAAAATAAAGCTGGCTAATGCTAATGATGACCCTGCAAAACAGAAAAAACTGTCAAAGTCTCTGGCAGTCAAGATACAGAAAGCTTGCAGGACGCGGTGGCTTTCAACTGGCCAAAGTGTATCAAGCGTCTGCCGAAATCTTGTTGCCCTGATGCAGACATTGAGGCAGTTTAAGGAAGCTGATGCTACAGCTCAAGGTCTTCTCCAGAGAATGAACAACACCAAGTTTGTTGGCACGATGCTTCTATTGAATGCAGTTCTACCTCATCTTAATACCCTTAGCAAGCTGTTCCAAAAAGATCACACATGCTACACCTCCATCAGACCTGCACTTGATAGCACCAAATCCAGAATTTCTGAAATCCGGTCCTCTTTTGACCTTGTTCCAGAGTTGCAAACAGCCATTCAACCAGGTGGAGACTATGCTTCTTTGGAACTGGAGCTTAAAGATGATGGCCAGGTAGAGGCATTCCTGAAAAATCTAGTAATAAACTACACAACTGCCCTCGAGAGGAACCTAGATAGAAGATTTCAAGAGGCTGCACCCATTCTTGAAGCATTTTCCATCTTCGATCCGACCTGCCTCCCAAAGCCAGAAGATCCAGCCTTCAAGAAGTATGGTGTGGATGAAGTAAACGTGCTGTGCAAGCAGTTCCAGTTTGACAAAGATCACACACTTGCGCAGTGGTACAACTTCAAGTACCTGATGTCATCATGGAAGGTACCCTCTGCTGTTCTCAGGGGAAAAGATGACCTCTCTCCAACTGAGTTCATTTTAAGAAAAGTCGTTAAAGAGCAGGTGGCTCACAGAATCAACTTCCCACAAATTGTGGATGCGGCTCAGATTTGCCTCACCCAGCCCATGTCCAATGCAGTTGTAGAACGGGGTGCAAGTGCAGTAAAGAGGGTAAAGAGCAGGTTGAGAAGTCGACTCAAGAATGACATGATGGCCAGCCTGCTCCACATTTCTCTAAATGGTCCCGATCATGGTGACGAAGAGTGCAAGGAGATGCTTGTAGAAGCAACCAAAGTCTGGAGAAAGACGCACTTCAGAAATCTACCATCACTAAAGAAGCTCCCAATGGTTGGAGGATCAGACCATGAAGGCAGTCTTTACCATCCAGCCACAAAGACTGATATTGGAGTACAGGTCGAATTTCCAGATGACCTTCAGGCCTCTAGATCAGCCCAGGAAGACAACGAAGTATCTGTGGAAACTGAACTTGATGCTAACGTCCAGGTTGTAGCTCAGGCAGTTGCCAGCAATACTGATTTGTGTCATGACGCACTGGATGCCATGGATATGG